TCTTGGCTATGAATCTCGTTAAGAATTCACTCCACGATAGAATGGGAGATCAATGGATGAATGATAGTTTACTTGTTTATATTGAGAAAGATGTATTTAATAGCATTAGCAATGATGCTATAATGCATTGGTTTTAAAATATGAAATCGCAACATGGACAATTACCTTTTCGTTATTGACTGAAAAGTTGTAATCATTTTTTTTTAACGGAAGTGAATTCAAAAAAAAAAAAAAAAATTAGTATGAAATGATATTTCATCATTTCATATTGCCCAGGCTGGTAGAAAACTCTGCGTCCGCCACTGATAATAATATATATATATATATGTCCATTATATTTAAATATGTATTTTTTATTTATCTTATTATAAATATATTAAGATTTTTTTTTTTTTTTAAATTTGGATCGGTTTAACTGGAACATTTTTGGCCAATTTTGACCGGTTCCCTAGCAACTTGTTCATTCTAGCGAACCAGACCGATTCCCGGTTCAATCGATCGGCCTGGCCGGTCTAATCTAGTTCTTTGTGGTAAGAACCATAAACCTTTTTTTTTTTGTGTGATAATCCAGTGCGATAAATATCTATAAGAATCTGGTTCATACTCTCGAACAAAGCACATACTCATTCATTACCATTTTATTAGAAGCCTGGTTGAGGATGAAGTAATTATTCTAGAATATGCTCCACACTGAACCAGTTGGTTGATATTTTCACCAAAGCACTGGATGCTCAAAGATCCATCTCTCTAAAGAAAACCTTAGAAATGTGCACCATGCGATTGTGTGAATTGTATTATATTATATAATATTATATTGTATATTAGTAAGCTTATTATACAATCACATTGTGTAAACATATAGAATATTGCATTTATCATATTCTGCATCTTGCATTTATTTCACCACAAAAGTAGTGATTGATGTTTGAACTATGTATAGACTGTTGAGATCTTATTGGCTGAAGATTGATTGCATGATTTTACATACTTTGGGAGTTTTTGTGCATGTCAGAAAGAGTTACCATCACGCAATGATTTATTGACAAAACTAGCACATGGTTCATTACTACGGGATCGGCTGTGAAAAGAGCTTCATAAACACAAAATGTTGTGAAGGGTGAAAGCTACTTACAAGCACTGCACTTAGTTGTGTGGTGTTCAAACATGGAGCAATAAGGTGCATCATCATAATAAACAAAGTGCAATATAAAAATCATGTCCCGGTTCAATTTCAGTTGCTTAAAATCATTGTTGCAAAGTAATGTGGTTGACTTTTGCCAATGCGGTGATTGTCACCAAGTGAAAAGCACTTTGAATAATAATGCCTCTATTTTATGTGCATATTTCTTTTCTGGAGCTATATGGGTTGCACTGTTTTGGTAATACGCCCCATAAATTGTCCCTTGTGTGTTCTATTTCACAAGATTGATTTCATGGATAATCATCTCACAAAATCTTGTTTATATGGACTAAATTATTGTCTTTTGTATTTTTTTCAATACGATTTTATTTCTTTTTTGCACGTTAGACATATTTCATATGATCTCCTTCATTGAGTGAAGCTTTTGGTCATTAAAAATTATGTGGAAATGTTTTAGAATAAAAGTAAGGTTCTTCCATTTTTATTTTTGATTTTTTGGGAAGTTTCTTTGTGTGCTAAGCTAAGGTGTTTGAATTCAAATTCGTCGAGCGATTTGTTGCCAAATTAAACCGCCCCGCCTTCATAACTTCCTTCTTGACCATATGTTTCAAAGCAAACACACGCAATTTCTGCCTTCATATATCCTTCGATCAAATCACTAAGAGTTATATCCTCTCACTTTTCCTTTGAAATTCAAAAAAGATGTGTTCCTTGTTCCTTCTCTATGTTCATCACCATGGTTGGAGACAAAAGCTCCTCCAAGCGCTCTGGTCTGCCCTCTAAGAGGATCAAGGTTAAGGCCAAGAAGGCCACGTACTATGTTCGCACAAGCACGCCGACCCCCTCATCGCCGGAGACGATGGCGTCAGATGTCCTCTTCTGTTATTCCAATGACCTCGATTCCTCTCTCACCGTCGCTGATGAAGTTAACCTTGAGCATTGGTACTGTTGCACCTCCACCACCAGTAGTCTATGATACTCCTGCACGAGCACCAACTTCTCCTCCATCTACGTCGGTAGTTACCACCAACGTTCATACACCCTTGGCATCGGCTAAAGGGGAGACGCATGGGGATCCAGCCTCCATAAGCGAAGCCACCAAATTCCCAACCAATCATTGAAGGTAGGTGAATGCGATGATACTGCAACGAATTTTCCATATATGATTCACTCCCAGCTATAGCGAGGTCAGATTTCCAACTCCAGTTGGGATCACCTTTGATCAAGAGACTCCTAACAAGGCTCAACATTCGATTCGCCGCTCTAATTGTCGTAAGGGAAAGAAGAAGGTTGTCAACAACGAGTCTGAGGATGATGCTTATGATCTTCCGTCTGCCTTCTCCAATAGGTTCTATTTTGAAGCTACCCAAAGTCGTTTTGAAAAATTTACCAAATGTGAGTTTCACACTAAGCGTGAGGTGGTTGACAAGAAATTTGAAAAGGTTAGTATTCCTGAATTAATCAAATATGTTGATCTTGAGTCGTTTATTACTCAGTTTCCTCCTTTCGGCTCTCAAATCATGCAAAAGTTTTATGCCAATTTAACTCTTTTTGTGTTTAATCCCAATAGTACTCGTTTTACTTATATTCTCCTTCATATAGGGTTATTGATTTCAATCCGTCTTCGCTGATGTTCATCTTGGGTTGCATGTTGTTGTCCGTGTTCCCCCTTGAGATTGTTTTAGATGTTCTTCCATCTGTTCTGTCGGGTGGTCATTTTGAGAAATGGCTCAGTTCCAACTTGCATTTTAGCTCTTTGTGACTAGCTCATTGCCAATTTGTTGTATAAGATACCTGCTTGCAATTGGAACTCGACTATGAACAAACATCAGTTGATTGAACTTCACTGCAAGGTGATCTATTAGGTTATGAATAGGAAGGCAGATAAATTTCAGAGTTATGATTGCTTACGATTTTTTTTAATAACGTCTGATTGAACATAACTTCAATGAGTTGATATTAACTATATAATTAATAATGGATAAGTTGAAATATATGTTAGATTTCTTTCATAATAGTGTATTTTATTATACCTATATCTATAATTAACCAATCCATTGGTTAATTACTTTTTGTGAAAAAAAAGTCTATTACTTTTTGTGTACTCATTGGTTAATATTCATTAACTCTAATTGACTTGATGAATTTTATAGTAATTTATTGATATAATTTAAAAAATATTATGATAATTGATTTGTCTAGATATTGTAGATATTAATTTAATTAATAATATTCATCATTCATAAGTTCTTAAAAATATAATATAATAATCATAATAACTATGATTGAATTATACTAACATAATGAGTAATTTAAAATATTAATATTTTTTTTTTTAAAAATGTAGTCAACTTAACCATAAAAAGGTAAATCTCCATTTAATATATAATTTGTAATGATATTAAAGTATTATTATAAAAATATTGATGGTCGGGTACAAATTAAAATATATTAATAAAATTAATATTTGATGGTCGAGTACAAATTACAATTAAAATTATAAATTTTACTTTAAAAATATTTATGTACATTAAAAATCTATTCAAGTTTATATAGTTTGAAAATGATTACAAAAACAAATATAAACAAAAACATATAAAAATAAAAATAAAAATAAAATATTTAATTACGAAAAATTTGTGTTGCATAAGGATTAAAAGTTACTAAAATTAAAATATAACTATCAAACATTTTAATATATCATGTACTTAAAAATATAATGAATAAAGATGTACATTCTGGGTTAAACGTTGGTCGATTATTGTGCAATGTGCAAATTATGAATTGTCAAAAAAATACTAATATGTCCGACTATTTTATATGAACTTGTAAGTATATTGTATGGAAATATCATTTGATCTGATACATTTATAATATTTTATCAACTTATAAATAATAAATTTTATATATTAAATAGTCAAAACCTACAAAAAAAATTTAAAAGTTGAAAAAAAATAATATTATAAAGAATAAGTTTCATATTATTACTGAAGAGTAATGCCCCCCTAACCACGGTGGGCACATTTTAATATGTCCACCGCTTATGTGATATTCACACATTGGTGATGTATTTTTTTAAACATATTAATTCATCAATGTGTGCATGCCACCTAAGCAGTGGGCATATTAACATGTGCCTACCGTGGGTAGGTGAGCATTATTGTATTACTGAATTGAATATTGTATTGAATAGAATTGAATATAGTCTCAAATAATTTAATAATATCTAAATAATAAAATATTTTTTGTAGTATACTCCTGCATCAAATGAATATCAATGCTAGTGTGATAAATGATTGAAATAACAACACATCCTAGCTTATCTATAATAATTTGACTAAAAATTATTTGCCCTTTATCATACAACATTTAGCATTTTCACATACACAAAAAATATTTTGGTTAAAAAATCATTTATTTATCTCCTCCTTAATTTTTTATTATCGATTGTATAATGTTAGTTTTTATTAATTTGAAAATAAACATACGAGTGGCATCTAATGTACCGCAATCATTCAAGCCCATCATAATCATAAATATATCATAGTAGAATATTTACTTTTTGTTTTTGTTAATTAAATTAGAAAGTATATTAATTGAACACTTGCGTGCGTGAGAAACCAACCAACAAATTGGTCGGTTACTAGGAAAGTTGAATAAATTCATCTAAAAACTTTCCTTCATTATCATGGAAAGTAAAACTAAAACTTGGTAACCGGAATTAAGATTTAATTAACGAAATAATAATTAATATTCCTACTCCTTACTCTTTCAGGGAATAATATTGAAAAGCCTATAAATAAATACCTATCCACATCATCAGACTTGCAAAAAATTATAACTTGGAATGGCTCCACCAATGCTGATGTGGCTCCATCTTACTCAAGAAAAAAACACACCGATCGGCTCTTCCCACGGCAGGCTGGCTTTCTCCGGCGACGAGGAAAACCCAAACGACCCTTTCCTCTTCTGCCCGTTTTCCGATACCCGAATCCGTCTCCCAAGAATCCATTCTCAGCTCGACAAGATCGTCCTGTGCGGCAACCCAGCGCACGACCCCAACTTCACGGCCTTAGCCATCCACGGGTCCCACGTGGCCTTCTGCAAGCCCGGCACGGGCCGGACATGGTCCCGTCTCGACTCCGATATCCCGACGGCCTACGACATCATCTGCTGTGATGCAACCAAGACTGCTTTCATTCTGGGCCCGGGGCCCGCCATCGAGGCATGGGACGTGGGCCTGTCCGCGCCGTGCAAGAAGTCCGAGATTCTGGAAGATTTCTGCCCGGAGGCACTGGCGAGGGCCGGGGAGAGGTACCCGAGCGACCTGTACACGACGAGGTGGTACCTTGGCCGGGCCGAACACGGGTCGTCGGAGCCGGGGAAGCTGTACATTGTGGTGAGGTACGTGGGAGAGTTTGTGAGGCACGACGGGGAGGTGGTGCGTGAGGGGGACACGCTCACGGACGATGCGGCCGAGCCGTTGGTGTGCCCTTACAAGACGGTGGGTTTCGAGGTGTTTAAGTACAGTGATTGCGAGGGGAAGTGGGTTGTGGCGGGGGATTTGGAGGGAAGGGCCATGTTTTTGGGAGGGAATCAGACGATAATGGTGGAGGAGGGGGAGAAGGGCCGCCGGGGTTTGATGAAGGATGCGATTTATTTTACGGAGGGGGAGAAGGGCCGCCGGGGTTTGATGAAGGATGCGATTTATTTTACGGACGATTATTGGGAGAGGTTGGACGAGGATTACTGTTATGGAGGGCATGATAATGGGGTTTATAGTATGGAGGATGGGAGTGTACACGAGCTTGTTGAAGGTTTAGAGCAAAAGATTGTCCCGCCGCCATGTTGGATTACTGCTCCTGCATCATCTCCTTCATTTTATGTCTAGATTTTCAAATATTTGTGTGTAATCTTGGCTTCAACTCTTGGAATTGTAGATTTTTTTTAACTCTTTGAATAGCAGATTTTTGTTCACAGACAACCCAAGTTCATATTAATGCATAAATGCTTCTCATAAAACATCATGAAATCAAGATTTGCCCACATTAGATTGGAAGATAACAAAAAAATCCAACCAAAAGATGAAAGGAAGCAAATACCAAACAGAATCGAGAAAAATCCAAACTGAAAAACCACGCAGAACTCCATGACTTCCCAAATGTGCCAAACACTTGAAAGAAAAAAAAAAAAAAAAAAAAAAAAAAAAAAAAAAAAGTCGGGATTCAAAACTAGAGAACTGTAATAAGCCTCTGAACTTCTGGAATTACGGCACAGAATGAGAAGGGGAGGCACTGAGAAATTTGATTAGAGTTGTTGCATCAACTTGCCTAAGCAGGCCATTTGGTTCTCTTTCCCTTTTTCGGTGTTTATGTTATGCTCACTTGCCATAAGTCCTCCCACCACGGCCTCTGCCTCTTCCTCCACTTCCTGATAAATAAGAACATTATATTCATTTCAAAAGGTCAACCTCTTAAATGTGCTAAAAAGAGCAATATGCATATCAAAGCTTTTATGTCGTCATAAAAGTCAAAGAAACACAATTAGCGCGTGAATGTTGATGTTATACACTGTTAAGAGTTCTGAAAATAATTGCAAGTGATCTAGTTATATTCCAAAATCACAATAACCTCCATTCCAAGGGGAACTACAAACATCCTCTTGGTCTTGTATTTGCTTGAACCTCAAGTCAGTGGTGCAGGTTGTTGATAAAGAAAAATGGCTTAGTTAGTGTTGTAATTCTGAACCTGAAGATTATTCTTGTCAGAATGAACCTAAGGATTCTCTTCATTTTTTCTTTTGAATCCCCTTTTTTTCTCTCCTCCTTGTAATCAGACCTAGCTTATCGAAGGTGGTTCGATGCCTCAACAAAATTGGAAAACAAAAGGAAGAAAAAAAGGAATAAAGCAAACCAGCAACAGATTGAAACAACTGAACAGATGTGTACGAGAATTTGCAAGTCCAATAGATAATATAAGTTAATTAAAAACACATACTTCCACCACGAGAGGCACCACTGTTGGGTCTTCTCTCCTCAATGTACACTTTCCTTCCAGCCAATTGAATAGGAGAAGCCTACAAGAAAATAAAATTCTCAAACACACCATAATTTGGATTTTGGGCAAAATCACCAGTTACCAGTTTAACAAAGTAGCCATGACGTATAGAATATAAGAAGATTGAAAAAGGGAGAAAATATTAGAAGTTGAATGCATGGTAGGTAAGCCATGGAAATTCACAAATATGTATAACTGGAACAGTTCCAACTTTCAACGGCACCACAAAACAAATATATATATATATACACAGGAAAGAGAAAAGAAAAAGAAAGGAAGAAAGGGCATCTCTTTCCTAAAAGGAAAAGTTTCCAACCTGAAGTGCGTTCCTAACACTCTGAATATCTTCAAACTCGACAAAGGCATAGCAGACGCCAGTATCCTATCCACCACAAGCAGATTCAGAGATTTCACAAGCATATGTAATTTATAATTTACATTACATAAAAGATAAATGAAAAGACAACAGACCGCGCGATTCCTCAAAAAGACTCCATCATACGTGATTCTCCCAAAATTCTCAAATTCTTGCTGAATATCCATACTTGTGATGGTAGAAGGCAAGTTCCTCACATAGACAGATTTCGGTTCTCCTGAATAAACAATTTAATCACATAACAGAACCAAATAATTAAAGGATATTATTTTAATCCACATGTAGGAGAAAATCACAATGTGTGGATATGTCATCCTTCAGAGTCTTTTAGGTAACAAAACACACAAATGAAAAACAAATATTTACAACCCAAAGGCCAAAGCATAGATTCCCACAAATTGTATTTCATAAATTAAATATTACCATTGTATCAATCCAATAAAAGTAACCTCAAAAGTCGTACCAGAAGAGAGATGCAAATAAATTTGCAATTAAAATGACAATGCATTAGGAAAAAGATCTGAACCCTTAGGAAATTCTACTGGTTATAGCATAAAAAGATAGTAATCTATGTGCAGTGAAACAAATGTATTTAATAGGATATTAATAGGCTTTACCCTCATGTGATGACAATGCATCTTCCCTTACATCCGAAGCAGAATTTGCTGGATTTGGGGTTGAGTGTTGCTGCAAAGGTTTGGACACATGGTTCCAATCTGTAACAGGTGATCTCTGAGTGAAAGCCGGCTGAGAACTTAATGATGGTGGAGATTTTCCTTTAGCTCTCAGCTTCCAAGTCAAAATCAAATAATAAATTTAGCATGACGATCTTTGTAGATAAATGAATAATAAAAAATAGTATATGTTCTCAACAGAATTCCTCCAAGTCACTAATGCAAATATAAAAGAAAGAGCAGTCACCACGATAAAATAGTATTGTTGCAGTTCGCAAACCAGTATGGTATCAGTTACTTTTAATAACAACTCTAAGCGATATAGTCAAAAGCAATACCTTGGCATACATTACACAAGTACTTAGCAGATGATTAATCTTCTTTCTCACTAATATTTATTAGGTTATCAGGCAGCAATTGTAGCCAAAACATTGGCATATTCCTAGGAAGCTCACTATCTGGTAACATAAAACCATTACTTTTCATGCACTTTGGCAATGATTTCGAAGAATCCACATGACACAATAATTATATTCTTGAAGTATATCAAAGTAAATAATGCTTACTATAGAAGCATAGGTCAGCTTCTCAGGTTCTCTAATAGATTCCTCGACAGAAAGGTGAGGTTCTTGCACCGTAGTTACTGTATGTTGAAGCAACGGGTTAGGTTCTTCATAAGGAGTTCCCTCATCAAGTCTGTCAACCTCAGACTCCAACTCGGGCTCAAGCTCAGGCTGCATCTCGTGCTGGGCTTCCGGCTGAAGATGCTCTTGGTAAGCAAAATCCTGAACTGGCTCATCTCTGTCAATATGAACAGAGTGAACATATTCTGCTGCCTCCTCTTCCAGTGCATAATCAGACACTGCTGAAGAACGGACTTACTTAAATATACTAATGAAGAATGAAAAATTGCAGTAGCATGGAAAACAATCTTAAGAAACCAGAGAACAGAGGTTCAAAAAAACTTAAAAGTCAAAAAGAAAAGGGAAGAAAAATAGTTAGAACATTATTGTAAACCTTCATGATAAATTTGAGATTTTCAACAATTACCCAACGGCATGAATCAATTTCTTCTTGACATCTGTTATTGATATAACACTCCAACAAAATGGAAGACTACCCTCCAAGTTTAACCCAGAAGTTTTGAAATCCATTTGATAATCTTGAATCTTGATATACTTGATTTAAGTTGGATGCGGTAGAAACATGTACATCATTATTTAGAAATTTCTAGAGATTAATTGCATAAGTCTAACCAATTTTACACAACCATGCAATCCTAATTTTATATCATATTTTGATTTAAAACTGGCAATAATATAGTCAGATTTTAATGTGAACAAGATTCGTAACCATTGATTAGATTGAGATGATCAACAGCACAAAAATTGTCTCTTCTTTCATAGGTCTCATTAATCTCATGCCCGCAATGGTTACGTTTGAATCTACAGGAAACCTACGTGCCCATAATAAACTAAAATGATCATGAGTCAGTCAACTATACCGGGTGGATCAGGATGATGAGTAGAAATAGTCGGGTGATAATCAACATTCCGTTCCTGTGTTGGTACTTGAGATGAAGATTGGTGTGCCACTTCATTATCAGCAAAATGGAACATATCATTCAGAACAAAATAACCTTTCTCTTGTGGAGCAAGGAAAAAGGTCTGCACGAATGTCCTCCAATAATTGAAATCTATCGACTTGACGGAGCCAGTAACAACCACAAGAACACCGCGATTCCAGGATTCAAGGGAATTAATTGTCTTGATCTCAATACCAGTGAAATTGAGTGACATGAGCAGTTGATGAATTTTCTGCATTAGGAGAGACATGATTGTATGTACCACCAATTAGAAACTTGATTTTATGCTTTTAATCAATTATCTACTCAAACCCAAAAGCCCGTGGCGGTGCTCGGTATTGTCCCTCAGTTTTTGAAAAAACAATAATAAAAGGCCTATTCACCAGTTAAAGCATGCAGGAACTTCCGTTAGTGATTTCCATTAGTCAAAACATATACAACATCAACAGCAGATACATAAACTCTTGAACAACTAGGGAGCATCATCATCATGCACAAAGGAAATCATGGAACGAGCAGCATATCCTTATCAGAAAGCATATTCTGAAACTATCTTAAAGTTCAGAATATAAGAAACTATCATCACAACTATTCAATAACACAATTGTAAGAAGACAACCTACTTCATAAAAAAATAATAATAATAAAAATAAATAAATAGATAAGAACTTATCATGACTAGCTCAACATCAAATCATGTTCATAAAGAAGAATAAGGTATCATACTGATTCTTGGTACCTTATCCACTTTATGAAAAGACTGATTTGAGGTAAACAAATAGGCCAATTTGCTCCAAGTACCCTACTTAACAAGGCAAGGTATGTAAAGCTTACAAAGAGTTCATATTTTTATTTACAAACACGCTTTTACTGGCATATGATTTCACATAAACTTATAGTGTCATTAGCCCTGCAACAAATTATACGCACCGCAAAATCAAGAATTACAAAAACCGATCATAGGCAACAAGCACATCACAATCTTACAAAGTCTCACCACACACTAAACTCTGAAGGAACCAAGATTCATAAAAAATCCTATTTCAAGCCAAAAGAACAAATAAATATTCTCTAAATCTAAGAAGGAAAATGTGCCATTACCACCATATCAGACGCTGAATGGCTGATTTCGCCGTCAACTCTAAGCATGGTGCTCGACTCATTGTAGAACTGATGCACGTAATCCCGCTGCTGCTGAAACACCTGATAGTATTGCTGAACAAAGTACGAACCAACCTAATAATAATCCAAAAATGCGTATCAAGATTCAAGAAGCTGGAAAAAAAAAATGGAACTATTTCGAGTATTGGTAAATGAAAAATACGCAAAATTAGGGGTGCGAGTGTTTGATTTTACCTGAGTCGCGGTGACCTGAGATGCGTATTGATTCGCCATTCTCCCCCCTTTTGCCAATCAATCCCTCAATAGAAGGAGATCGCAAAATAAAACCCTAGATCAGAAAACCCTTATTCAGAAAGAAAGAGAAATGTGTTATAAAATGCGGGGAATATAAATAACACAATGTAAAAACCGGATATAGATTATAACAGACTTTCTTTCTTCTTCACTTTCTCCTTCACTTTCGTACATAAATTTGTAA